AAAATTTTCGATAACAATGAGCGTTATTATTTTCGATCAAGTCCCTGCACAGTTGTTTTAAAGAAATTAAAAGTTAGTAAACATTTTTCACTTATAGAAATACAAAACCAAGATTTACATAATTGTTGTAATTTATATGGAATTACCCAGGATCCTTCAACATTTGAATATATGCTTGTAGAACCCACGTCCATATGTGACAGATGTCTCTCTAATGTATTAAAAAATGAGTTTTCTAACTGGACTAGTGGAAATTCACAAATTGATAAATTTATTCAAGACGCACAGCGTTCATCAACCTATATTAAATATCCTGAGTGGATTCCTTATAACTCTTTAAGTGAAATAAAATAAAGGTGGATTCGGTGCTGTATATTTTGCAAAATGGGATAAAGGTGTAAAATGTTTTTTCGTGAAAGATAAAGACAAATATCATACTCGATCTGAGCCCTGTGCTGTTGCTTTAAAGCAATTAAAAAGCGAAAAAGACTCAGTTCATCTTTTTCTTAAGGAGGTATTGATAATAAACATTTCATTTTTTTAAAGTATGTTTATAGTCAATAAACATTTCATTTTTTTAAAATATGTTTATAGTCAATAAAAATTTCATTTTTTTTAAATATTTTTATAGTCAATACTAAATCAAATGTCATTTTAAACACAGGTTCAAGCACAATTTGATTGTTGTCATTTATATGGAGTTACTCAAGATCCTTCGACATCACAATACATGTTCGTAATGCGATATGCACCGCAAGGGGATCTTGGACGATTCTTGAAAAAAAAATTTGATAAACTATCTCTAAAAAACAAATTAAGTATAGCACAATCTATATGTGCAGAACTTCAAAATATTCATGCTAAAGGTTGGGTACATGGAGATCTTCATGGCGGAAATATTTTATTATTAAATGAAGAAGATGCCTTTATATCAGATTTTGGTTTATGTCGACCGATAAATGAAACGCGGATGCTTGATCAAAAAATTTATGGTGTCATACCAAATATTGCACCTGAGATAATTAGTTTTCAATCTCCGTATTCTCAGCCAGGTGACATTTATAGCCTAGGTATTATTTTATGGGAACTAGTTTGTGGAATTCCCGCATTTTCAAATAGAGCACATGATGTAAACTTAATAGCAGATATTTGTAATGGTCTTCGGCCAAAAACGTGTCATTTTGCACCTCCGGCTTATAATAATTTATTAAGAAAATGCTGGGATCAAAATCCTTTAAAACGACCAACTATAAACGAAGTATTAGATTCTATGTATTGCTTGGGTAAATTATCAAGATAGAAATTCAAGAAGTCAAGAAGGATGCCAATTAGATCCAAGACAAAAAAAATTTAAAATTTTAACTTCATCTGGTTACTTGGAGGAATTAACATTTAATGAGTATAAAAGTGTATACTTTTTAAGTAGTCTTAATGAGGAATTAGTAAATGAATTGAAAAATTCGAACAGTGCAACTGAGATATATAACATTATGAAATGGAAACCAGACATTCCTATTCACAAGGATGCAGTATATAAAAGTCGTATGATTAGTACTAGTGATAAATATATGACTAGTCGAAACATGGCACTTCAATACGAAATTTGTGATATACCGTAACTTGATGAAATGATATTATCAACGACGGATAATTATTTTACAAATTATGGTCGGTTTGCTGATATTTAATAGGGACATACTTTAGATATTTAAAAATTTTTTTACTTCAAAATAAACATTGCTTAGCGCTTAAACTAATGGAATTTGTGTTACGTACGTATCATACTCTTTTTTTTTTTTTGCTCGAAAAAGAAATTAAAGCAAACTTGTATAACCAAGATAACTAGTTTTGTTAACCAGTTTCTTCAAATTTGGTCATTTACATCAAGAAATTACTAACACGCATAGCTTTAGTGATTTATGAATGATTGCTTTTTGACACAATATAATTTACGGGTCCAAGAATTAGTGACAAAACCTATATTTATCTAATGCAAAGATTTTTATTTGTGTAAACTATTCTTAATCAGGTATATTACATATTATATGGTAAATAAAGCAGTAAAGATTGTTCTGCGTCATTTCACAATTTAAGTCGATTCCAAATTGACCTAAGTCATTTCTAAATTTTAAAACGATGTACGTTATTTCTCAATCGGTGAAACCATAAATTTATACGACCAGATTTAAAACTTATATACCGATAATAAAATATCGAACATTCTTTTGCATAAATAATTAAGCATAAAAATTTACATAAATTTTTACATATAAAAATAAAAAAAGATATGTAACGTTTGCGTAAATTACTGTTATAACGAAATTCTTTATAAAATTCAAATAAATAAAAAAATAGCACAATAAAAGCATATAAAAAATTCGCTTAACTAAAATTTAAAAAAAGAACCTCATCGACTTTTTCATTCATCACGTAGAACACATCCATATCGTCGTGTACATAACAAGTTACCTTTTCAGCAGAAATCTTTTGTGAATAAAACAATAACACATATGATTCTTTTTTTATTATTAATTAAAAAAAAACTAAAGCATATCGGCGAATTTGCGGAATGGACCTAAATTAGGAACCCTGAATTTAACAATTGCATAATAACTGAAATTTTGGGGTCAGTTTTACAATCGCATTGTTAAAATATGTGGACCTTAATTTATGTCAATTCCGTAAATTCGCCGATATGAAATAAAAATAAGTATATAATCAAACAAACTAAATACCCCCAAAATCTTTTGCCAGGTTTTGTCTTGATTAGCACGTTCCGTTATTGGTGTCGGCACAAATAATCTTATAAAAATATTCAATAGAACAACATTGCATCCTAGATTATTTTCAGCTAGCTTAATCAAACATAAAGAATCTTAAAATTATGTTAAAATTTGGGTTTTGTAAATCGGTTGTATTTTTAAGTACAGTTAAACATTGATTATATTTATTTCGATCTATTAAATTACGTTAACGAAAAAAAGTTCCTAATATTCTATCAAAGGTTCACGCGCCGGGATTTTGTATCGTTCCATTTTGCGAAAATAAGAGATTTTAATATTAAACATTCAATGATTATTTATTTTTAACATCAATTAATACGACATATGTAATACATTTGTAGTATACTAAATTAATAAGTAATTCAAAGTTCTAATTTTTATTAAATTTTGGATCAAAAGTGACAACCCTTCCATTTGCCACTGGGGTGTGACCAATCATTCTGTGTGACAAATAAGCACTGACTAAATATATTTATATAGACAAATTAGTCGTTGCTTATTTGTCATGCACAATGATGGTCGCACCCTGGCGCTTAAGTTTCATAGCGTTGCATTAAGAATTGACCCAAGTTATTTCTAAATCGGTGAAAATTTAAGAATTAAGTAGGTCAATTAAAAATCGACCTAAATTGTGAAATGACGTCGAACAAAGATGACATCAAAGTTTGACAAACATTACTTGAAATTATACAATATAGTCAGTTTTCATAATCCAAGTTAACGTTTATATTTTGATTGTTATTGTATACTTAATATATACATGGCAATAAAATATGATCTCGAAATATTGAAACTTTTTGTAGTTTAATTCATATGTGCAAATACAAATACTATCTAAATTTGGCAAAATCTAAATTCAAATATCGTTATACTGTAAAACAGTTGGTAGATTAAATTACAATTATCTCAATGTACAGATATACATATCATTCTTGGTAGATGATTCAAAATAATTTTAACAGGTAAACGAAATTGAGCATACTTTGTGAAGAAAAATATGGAATTTTTTTTGCAAAAAAAAAAAAAAAAAAGAATAAAATTAATAATTTAATAATAAAACACTGCGAATTTTTTTGTAAAAATTATATATCGTACATGATTATAAATTATCTGGTACAAAGTCTTAAACACCTGAAAATATCAAAAAAAAAAATTTCATTAAATATTTTATATTAGCACGAAATCTTTTTGATAATTAATTATTAACCTACCAAGAATATTTGTAAGAGGACGAAAAATTATTAATTTCATCAACAATTATAATGGCAACTGCAAAACAAAAGGAGAAGAATAGATCCAATTTGTGCTGCGAAAATATAATAATAATGTTTTTTTGACCGTTTTTTTTTTAATTAGAAATGTTGAAATAATGATAAATACTTTGTATGTACGATGAAAATTTTCATAAGCTTGCATGTATTTAGGTCTATGGATGGGTTCGGTTACGGCTATTAGTCGTAGTCGATATTTTGCTGACCAACGGCTTAGCTGACCGGCTAAAATTGTAGTCGATGCCAGATTTTTAATATTCTGGCTAATAAAAATGATGATTAATAATTAAACATTCATAATTCTGTTCAAATTTGTAGATCATTTGGCCAGATCTAGAACACCCAATTTTAAATCTGGTCAAATGATCGGCAATTTTGATCAGGTGATGCTGATCCACAAATAATTTTTTTCCCCAGAATTAGGCTGTTTTGACAACGCATGATAAGTCCCTATAGAAAAAATATAAACCAATATATAATTATTTATTGCCTATTTGGATAATTGATTGGATAATTGATTAAACAATTTAACGACTATAACCGACAATTTAGCTGACAACTAAAGCCGTGGCTTAGTCGACTATGAGCGACTAGCCGATAATAACCGACCGTAACTGACCGAACCCATCCCTATTTAGGTCCATCGAATTCAACATATCATCTAATTTCAATGTCATCAAAGAAATAATCATAAACACCTAACATTAATTAGTAATTCTATTACTAGCATTGATAAAATCCCCATAATAAATAGTGCAAACGAAATAAACAATGAATCTGTAGACATAATCAAACAAAAACATATTCAATTATATCAGATTCTAAATGAGGTAAAGCTTTTACAATTGATTTAATATTATATTCTAAATTAATACTGTTTATATTGGTAATTGATCTAATGTTATATTCTAAATTAATAATATCTATATTGGTATTCAGGACAACGTATTCTTGATGAATTGAGGTTTTCATCAATCGGCAAAAGTTTCTTGATAACATGGAAGAAAAGTTTATTCCTCTGATGATGATTTGCACCGTGAAAAAAGACGTACATTGTATGTAACGTAGTAATTTCAATATCTTTGTAAAATTATAATAATATAGTCTAAATTCTATTTTGCAATGTAATCGAATAAATAAATAAATATATATTTGATATATTTTCGTGAGACACGCTATTAAATAATTAAGTCGAATTTTTTCACTTCGATATTTACCGATCATAAAATTGGTCAGAGTATCATGTGACTGCCCTTGATTGTTGATTTATGCTTTTGCATTTCATGAAGGTAGGTTTCAGGAAAGTGAGAATTAATGATACAGTATCACATAATTGAATAACATATACGATCAGTTCCTATAGCTTATGTCATTTGAGGCAATTTTTATGCAAAAAAAATTTGAAGATTTTAGTTTAGCCTTTTTTTTAATGAATTTTTTTTAGAACATTTTAATTTGTGCATTTTTCTAATTTGTGCTACTGTACAGAATTTAATAAAAATTCTAATGCCATGTATAGTACATATTTGTTTTTCAATTGCTTATTAGCATATTTATAACAAAGGTTTAGGTAAAATATATGAAACGAGCTTTGGATTCATATAGTTAATTTCCAATTGTATAATAAATTGTATATTTTTCTTGCACTTAATGCCAACGCTCAAAATAAAAGATAAAGGATATTTTTTCATATAATCTCATGTAAAATAACGTGACATCAATATTTTCAAGGATAATTTTTACACAGTGAAAGTTTAAATGTTTACTTAAAAAAATTGCATTACCTTTTACTGTAATGTGTACTGTCTATATAATACTACATCTGTATAAATTCATTTATAAATTCTGACTCAATTCAACGAAATCTAAACTCAAGCTTCATTACATCATGATACTAAATAGATGATATTTTGAATTACAATTACAAAATTATCTCAATATATCTGATACAGTATTTTTGGTAGATAGCTCAAAGTAACTTCAATGACCGTCGAAATTGGATCATATTTCATGAAATAGGAAAAAAAAATCATGACTTTGAATTTTTGTAAAAAATATAATTAGCTATTAAGCTACCAAGCAAATTTGTAAAAAGAGGACGATGAAAAATTTCCTAATCTTCATCATCGATTACAATATCAACTGAAAAACCAAGAGGAATAATTGACATTTAAGCATTACTGATCTTAATTGCGGGTATATATATTATGAAACAAGCAAGAAGAATAAATCCAATTTGGCAGCGAAAGTATACAGTAAAGTAATTTTTTTGAACGTTTTTTAATTGGTGAATGTTGGAACAATGTTGCACGAGCTGTGAAAACATTTCATGACAACTCGAGTAACAAATGACAAATAATAAACTATCAGTCTATACAATCGTAAAATTAGAACAAAAAAAAACATCATTCTTTGACTGTGCTTTCTTGTTTAAAGTCTTAGAAATGATATCTAAATATATAGTCCGACCAATTTTAATTTAAATAACAACATTCCTTGTGAAATCAAAATTGGTAGGTTTCGGAATTAGAACACCGTAATGTGCAACAATCAAATAAGTACAGT